CTCAGCGCCAAAATAATAATTTCCATAGTTCCCCCATCGACTTATAATGGTGAGGTCATGTCACCAAGCTGACCTCAGATAACCTTTAGGAGAAATCTGAGAAAAACAAGTTGTGGGACCTCTAAAGAATACTAACTCCTCTAAATTTTCAACCTCCTGTGAAAGCTACTCTGGCTCTGAGGGTGTTTCAAAGTTGCGACATCTTAGGACCGTGCAGAGGTTTACTTACGACGACATAGGTCATTGATCTGACCTGACCTGAAAATTCAGTTGTTGTCATAAGATCCGGCTTGAGTCAAAGGTCAGGTATGCCCCGTTTCAACTCTTTATCCCCGACGTGTGCCGAGCTATTGCGAAAAAAACGTGTTGGGGTCGGCACCCCCATCGGCCGGCGAGAATTAACGATGAATTATGATATACATACTTACAATCAGGGATGCGGAGCCGTGGAAATTTCAGACGGCTCCGGCTCCGGCTCCGGCTCCGGAGAAAAAAATCGGCTCCGGCTCCGGCTCCGGCTCCGGGTGAAATGTCATGGCGGCTCCGGCTCCGGCTCGGGCTCCGAGTAAAATGATCCGGCTCCGGCGGCTCCGGCTCCGGCGGCTCCGGCTCCGGCTTCTACTCAGTACATCCCCTATGCGATCAATTAAATACGGGTGGAAGAAAAAAGGCGATGGGATTGGTACACGTTGCTTCTGTATTTGTATAACAAGGCTATTTTGAATACCACATTGTTTTACGCCTTGTACTGTCAAACCGAACTAGGTAAATAATTGTTTCCTCTTGAGAAAAGGAGCCGGAGTCGCCCCCTTTTTTGACGGCTCCGGCTCCGGCTCCGGCTCCGGGCTATATTGTTTCACGGCTCCGGCTCCGGCTCCGGCTCCGGGCAAAATATGCCGGCTCCGGCGGCTCCGGCTCCGGCTCCGGCTCCGGCTCCGCATCCCTGCGTAAGATAATCGATAATACCATGGATGAAATATCTGGTCTGCACCAAGCTCACTTGAATGACCTAACCACCGCTTGGAACTGTGCCTACCTATGAATCCAAAAGTGGCTTCGCCTGTGTGATGTCATGATTGTCCGATCCTTTTCTTTTACAGCATGCTTCGGTGTATTCAAATGCGCATAATCTGCTGAGATGTGTGCCTAATGCTGACACATTAAAGACGCGCGCGGCGGGCCGTGTCGGGCTGGGGCAGACAGGATGGCTGCCATACACACACTATTCAACTCGAGGCCGGTGATATTTATCCCCTCCCATCCCCTGCTGGATGGGCTGTCAACCAAGCCCTTACTGCGGCCCGTTTCATGCAACGTCGACCATCGATTCTACGCGCTACTTTAATTAGCTTGTTTTCTATCGCTGTCATAGGTATGTTCGTGTTGCTGTGCATTCACTCGCCTTTTATATGCAGTTTCACTGCAATGGTGAGTCAGAATGCACACAGACGTGAATGTCCAAAGGATCAGCCCTTCGGACACGCAGGCGTCCTGCACGGCTGGAGGCGGCCGATGGGGGCAGTGTCCGCTGGCCGCCGTCTTCATCAGACGTCCCCGCTGAGGTCGGCGTGCCGCCGCTCTGACGTCACTGGTCCGCCTGATGACGTCAGAGGTCGCGGCGGGAGGCCGGCCGCCACGGCTGCCGGATGCCTGCCGACCCCGGATGGCCGGGTGAGGTGAGGACGGTATCCGCCAGCGTCCCCGCTAAGGACACCTCACGGTCCCATCCCGTCCACGAGCGCGAGCTAGTGCCGTTATGATGAATTGGCCAGCGTTACCGCCCGGCCAGGGGTGCTCTGGTGTGGAGGAGCCTTGGAGAGGTCTTCACCGTGCAACGCCTTACTGCGACGCGCTTTTGATCAACAGAAAAATGAAGATTGGTTTTTTCGCGACAAGGCGGATCGCGTTGATTTACTATGAACTTAACGCGCATGACTCCATCATATATACCTACGATCACAGCAGATGAGCTTGACTCAAAGGCTCACCTGTCCGCCCAATGACTCGGGAGTCATTTCTTATGGCATTACACTGGCCGCAGTAGTGGACGTACAATGAATGAAAGCAGAGGATACACGTCTCGGGCAATTTCGCTAAGACGGCTGTGATATCATCCTCGGCAAAGTCCGACTTGTGGCGGAGCGGGCGAGTCAGACGCCGGCTTATGTCGAGGTTCCGGTTTTCTGTCATCGTCAGTCACTGGCATAGACGTCGGTCCGAATGGTATGCGGAATGCGTATTGAGTTTATAAACACCCAAATGAGGCGTTGGGAAGGTATGTGCGTGCACGAAAATTTTAATATGCGGAGCACTCACATTTAATTTTTGATTTTACTTAGCCGGTGCTTAAGTACCTATCTGTTCAATCCAGACTTTTTCCCTAAACATCAAAGACCAGCTTGACAACGAAACATACCTATATTTGCTTGTCAAGCCATTGCTTGTCAAGTTTCCTAACTAGTTACTTGTCCAATAAGTAATGGCCGATGGCAATTGATTTCTGAAAGGCAAGCCTTGAGATGTATGGATCATATCAAATATCTATAATATCATCATTCATCGTGCCATGGTATCTCGGGATTGCTATTTTCTGAAGATGGTCAGGTCAGTAATCATCTCTAGAAATAGAAATGATCCATACGATTACCTTCTGCCATCATTAAACATTCTTCCCGATAACATCTCTATTGAACATCGGCTCACCGCTGTCACCACCACCTGAGGCGCGTTTTACCTGGTCGATAATTAGCCGATATTCGGCCGCGGACGGCGGCTGAGAATCCAGTCAGAGAGGAGGGGCGTCCCACACGCCCTCCCCGTTCTCTCTCGCTCTCCTGTCGACCTTTCTCTGCAGCGGTTCGTCACGAAGGATCGCACTCCCCAGCGCCCCCTCACTTGCAGAGCACCGCGGCCGCCCCAGATTGTATCCGCCGGTAAAGAATGGTGGTACAGAGAGGCCACTCGAGTTCCCAGCGGTGGGTGACGGCTGCGGGACGGAACTGACAGGTTACAACAGCCCAGGGGCGATTTTTCGCTGATTTACACAGTGCCGAAAGCATGGGAGGTAGTACCTTGTGTCCGTCTTTTTGTGCTACGAATTTCCTTTGATGACCATGGGAATGAAGAATTCGAATGCTTTGTCGAATATGGTGAAGTTGGTATATTTACATTTGAATATGCATGTGTTTTGCCGGTTAGATGAGGTACACAGCTGCACAGTACCCCAGCTAAGAGCCTTATTCCAACTGTGCTTACCACTGTGTCCATTGTCAATCCATATAACTAACCTAATATAAAGATGGTCGATGGTTATTCAGGGGTGTCAACTGCCTATAGCACTAGTAATCCCAAGCACCAATAATAGATTACCAACATGGATGCTCTCCTTGACCTGGGCATGTAACGCCTCATCCTTAAGCTGGTTAGCTAAGGAGGGGCATTCGACATTAATCTAACGCCCCGGGTGTTCACTGTTGGTCTCCTTTCGCAACTTCAGCATGGTTTTGTCTCCCCTCGCGCATGGGATAAAACGGCCTAAGATGTGTGACACTCCTTATTGAGAGCATGTAGACTGTGGTGCGCAGCGCTCGCTAGTGTCGTAACTACTGGATCATGGTCGGGAGGACATGCTGGATACTGCAGGGCAGGACCTGCTGGATCTGATCCAGCTGCTATGGCTTGTCAAACTGCTACGAACTTCTGCGCAATGAAATATTTACGGCAGTATAACCGGGTTGATGCACCTGTTGAACCAGTCTTGCGCCGAATTAGGAGTAAAATCTTATAATTTCCATAGAGCTGTTGTTTTCTTACCTTTGTGCATCAGTTGTCTTGTTTACAAGCTACAACAGCAAACATATTCGGACGGTTTTGATCTTTATTGCAATACTTACAGCTTGAGTTGATTCAACTAGGGGCTAATATCCATCTCCCTCTTTTTTAAAACGGTTGACAAAGTCCACCGGAATAGGTATAAGTGGGCCAATACACTGCGTATTGCGAAGTGCATGTAGTCACGACTCACAAGCAATGATGCAAAGCCCAGACACGAGCGCGGTGCCCCTATGCAGAGCACAACAAGGATAATCTTGTATCGGATGGATGACCTGCTGGGAACAGTGCTGGACCCCATAGATATCGTCGCACCGAGCAACTGTATCTCGAAAGGTTTGCGTTGTCTGTTTGATGTCATGTACTTGAAGTTTCAAAAATGAAATGTTGGATCTTCTAAAGGTCCGAAACACTAATGAAATTACGCCTTAAGATATACCCAGATAGAACGTACAGCTATGGTGATGCATAATAGAAACTAAAAATCGAGCTATTAACATCACTTCATAGCCGATTATGCACAATGTTCCAAGATTTAGCTAAGGTCGGGGAGCAGGCACTTATGGCTACTTTTGCCTCATTTTTTATGCTTAATGGTTTTATTATTGTGTTGATACTGTTGCCATACTTATTGGTTTTTTATCTTTGGCTGTTTTAACTCGCCTCTGAATGAATTGAGCTGGTGAAATTTGACGTTGGGATATTTAATGGAAATAATAGAGGCAAACGAATGTTTATTGCTCATGCGCATGTGTTTATGTGTTTTTAAGAAAGATACACACAATATCATGCCTTGCAAAAGATCAAATTTGTACCCGTAGATGATTTTAGAATACAGGCGTTACTTGTATCTTCACAAAGAAGAGCGATTTGCGTGACTCACGACGGTTTGCCTTCTCACTTGGATTAGGCATGAGGACAAGTTGTTGACTCACTATGTTCAGCTAAGTGCTGACGCATGGCAGAGTCGCATTTCACACTGCCTGGTTTGGTTAGCCGAGTATCAGCGGTGTGCTATCCAACACCCCCGAGTCACCCCAGAGCCACTGCTGTGTGTGTGAGAAGAGAGGGAGCCCAGGCGGCCGCGCCGGACGGAAAAGCCCCCGACCTTAGCGGACACAGCAACCGTGCGACCGGACTCGGGCGCCAAAGGCAGGCGATGGCTTAATTCTTCAGAAAACCCGGTGGCTGACCCTGAAATGCAGTGATCTAGCTTTTCTGCGGCGGTCGGCAGTGGCGGGTATTTAAGCCATGTGCCGCCGGAGACCGGCATCAGAGCAGCAGCCGATCACCCCACTGAAACACCATGAAAGCCGTACGTGCTCCTGTGTCTACTATAATCGTTTGATAGAGCTCATGATCATGACAAGGCTGTAGTCAGTCCTATGGTTGTTGAAACTGTAACAGACTTATGTGGCGTAGCTTTTCTGACGCATTGCTGATGCCATATTTAGCTGAAGCTGAGATAAATGTACGAATTGATGACACTGTGACACTGTTGGAGTTACGGTCACCGTGATCCGCATTTTTCCAGATCGTTCTCCTGTGCTTGGTGGCTCTCGCCGTGGCGGACAAGAGTGCCCGGATTGTCAACTACCAGTCGGGCATCGAGGAGGATGGATCGTACGCCACTGAGTAAGTAAAACATGCTTATAACATGCTTGTAGTATTTAGGCGTGTTGACTTAAGTAGCTAAGTAGCTTGTGCGAAATATTTGTTTCAAAAAGCATGGCGTGTGAGCAAATAGCTGTGATGAATTTTGCAATGAATTTGTTACAAATTTGATGGTACTGTTTGAATTAAATTGGACCGGTTGCATAATGGTTCGAGCCTCGGGAAGCTAGTTGCCGACTCAGGAAGCAACGAAGTTTTTGTCGTGGCTAAAGAGTCCTCAGTTATAGAAGTAAAACTATCCAAGAAACGCAGAAAATTAGTTCAACATTTGCCCATTTTGGGCGTAAGAGATAATTGTTCCAATAAATCTGTCCCGGCCAGCAAAACTGGGCGACCACCATGGACCCCTGCACATCACCAAAAACCATCCCATTCCTCGCTTCTTTTCATTGTCCTACCGATTGCAGTCAGGCCTTTGTCATGTTCCCTTCTCTGCATGTCCCGATTATGTGCAGGTGCTATTAATATGCCTAGATCGCAATGAAGACAATGTCGAACCATATGTAATAAAATGAAAGCCTACTGATGTACATATTTAAGCTCACAACAGCTGGTTCAGTTGTATCACGGGTTCCTTCATCAATTGATGCCAACCGTTCCATCCTTACAGGTTTGAGACGACGAACGGCATCAAGGCCAAGGGAGACGGCATCTCCTACCCCGGCAACGCACCCAATACCGGCAACTACGTAATGACTGGCTCGTACTCTTATACTTGGGAGGGCGTCACCTACACTGTGAACTGGACTGCCGACGAGAACGGCTTCCACCCTGTCGGAGATCATCTCCCCGACTTCAGTCACACCCGGGAGCACATCGGCTTCGTCGACGATCATCTGTAATCACGGAGAGATGTTCCGTGGTTCTGCTCTGACCAAAAATCTATGATTGATCTACATTAGTGTTCTTTATTTATCCATGCGTAAATAAAATATACGTGAGCAATAATGTTTTATCCTGGTGATAAGCTCAGTTTTGGCTTTTGAGAGCGCCGCGAGTGCCAGCTAGCTCAGCTTTGAACCCTTCGAAGCATCATGCATATTTAAAATCAGTAGTTTTGTTTTCGGGCAGACATTGTATTTTCATGATAATGTTTGTTCCTTTGGTTTCTACCAATTGGACCACAAACTTTAAAAGGAACATCATGATGCGTACATACGAAGATATGAATAGAAGATAATATGTACGTATAGCCTTATTTTGGGTGGGTATGAATCCATACTTTTTATATATGAACTAGTTTTTTGTTAGTTGTCAAGCTCATAAACATTATTTATCTTTCTTTCTGAAGCCCCGATTGAATTCTCCTGCGAAGCTGTAGTACGTCTGCGTACCATGAGGAGCGTTTCAATTCAGCATTGCTAGATGTAGGAAGCTCTCGTGCGTCATATACTCTTTGCGAGAGGGTGGTGTCCCCAGGACAACTACTACCCTTGCTGGATTATCGCTGGCACACTGCGGTACCTAACATATCCGTTTGAAACTGGACATATACACCTGAACTGTCCAGTCGTGTTCCTGCGCTGTCGACGGATGTCAAACAGCTCAGAAAGTCTGTTCACCACTCCACTCCCGTGAGACACGCGTCTGCGCGCCGGCCAGAGGTCAAGGTCAAGGTGTTTGACCCCGCGTGCAATGACTGACAGATAATCCCACAATAAACGCCCCGGGTGCAGGACATCGGACGCACCTTTGACACACGACCCCTGCCTTGACCTCATTCCGACTGCGTTGTCTGCGAATTTCTGATAACTGCCGCCCAGGTGCGAATTAGAAAAGGCACTTAGGTGTTGGCGGGGCGCACTGTTATGGACCATGTGGCCCAGCCCCAGGTGGCAGCGACCGTACATTAGTTTGGAAATGGGCGGGCTGACAGTCATGACTGTCTGCAACGGAGTGTCCTCTAACAGAAAGTGTCCAAGGCACATGCAACACTACTGCGGGGCTGGCTGGGAAGCATTGCTGGGCTCCTGAAATCATTTAAAAGATCAGCAAAGCAATGTTTTGATCTATTCGATTAACATTTATTTGAAAGAAAGGCTGCCTTAAAGTCAGGGAAAAGCTGCTACTATTGAAATAGATAAGCTATATTATAGATATGCACGTCAAAACTAGTGGTAATAGGGTCCCGTAAATACAAGCTGGCTGAGGAAAATATATTTTGATCACTTTATGACGATAACAGTTTTTTATGGCATATTATGAAGTGCATGAAGTTCACATGTAGGACAAAGGACACACATTACGTTGACGAGGACCTTCACATATAACACGAGGGAAACAAGTATGATGCATCAGGGACGACGACAAAACATTGACACTAAGTACAGATCAAACAAACACACATGAAAAATAATGAAACTAAAAACAAATGTTAACATCATCAACACTGAAAAATTGTCGAGCTGCTTAAAATTCGGGCGAAATAAACACTATCAAATATAGTATGCAGAAGGATCGGGGGAGTGGGATGCAGGTCGGTGTCTTCTCTTGAAAGCATCGGAATCTAATATCATGCGGAGTCGTTCTGGCCCCGATTGGTGTTGTTCTGTTTTACTGGAATTCGTCAATACCACCGATGTGTTCACGCGTAAAACTGAAGTCGGGCAGGTGATCGCCAACAGGATGGAAGCCGTTCTCGTCGGCCGTCCAGGTGACCGTGTAGGTGACGCCCTCCCATTCGTACGAGTACGAGCCGCTCCTCACGTAGTTGCCAGACTCGGGGACGTTGCCGGGGTAGGAGATGCCGTCCTCCTGAGCCTTGATGCCATTGGTTGTCTCGTACCTGGAGAAGGTATAAGATAGGATAACGTAAAAGAAAACACAAGGAAAAATGACTAAAACACACACACACAAAAAACTGCGAGCTGTAAGATACAATGTAAATGCTGATGCATTTCCCATGGTAAGCGTCAATATTCGGCTTGCAAATTATTTCTATGAATTTCAAGCAAAATACTGCAAGCAACACAATATTACATTATAGGTATGTATTAATGAAATGGTTTCCAAAATTGTTCTCAACTCATGCTAGTTAGGCCGGACAGAATTAGGCATTTATTTGCTTTAAAATAAAACCCTCGGTGCGCCACTTACTCGGTTTTGTATGATCCATCCTCTTCAATGTTGGATTGGTAGTTCACTATTTTAGCCTCTTTGTCAGCCACGACCAGAGCCACGGCACAGAAAAGCAGAACCTGAGAACACCGGGCAACGCTGAGCTGGCGGCGAATGGCACGGGCATGCTCTTTTAGAAATAAAAAGGTCTATATAAAACTGCATTTTACCGAACAACATTTTAACGTTACACTTCACTTCCAACTTCCAATTTTACGGTTATAGGCATCACTATCGCACAGACAGCACACCACAAGCACAGATGCAGCGGAGTCAGACTCACGATCTTCATGGTGGAGCACTGTGGTCGGCTTTGGGGTGATCGGGTGTTGCACTGATGCCGGAGTGTGGTGTCGGTGAGCTTTTATACAGCATCCCCCGCCTCCGATGAGAGGCTAGATCAGAGAGCCCCAGGGCCGTCTGCCAATATTGCGATGTAATTAGGCTGCCTCCTGCCTATCTAAGTGGTCACTTACCCAATGGGGATGTGTCTGAGTAGGCAACACTCGATATCTGGCTCCACACAACTAGCCAAACGGGGGAGGAAGCTAATGGGGCCACGTCCTTGCCAGGTGAGACCCGCAGACACATTTCTGATCCGGGATTAACCACTGGTTACATGCATATACCGATCTATCAGGAAAGGAGGGACGAAGAGCGTGATGAACATTATTGTTTTTTATACATTTAACGTAGATCATGGCCAAAAGAACTTAGCTTGAATTCTTTTACATATGTGAGTTGTCGATAAGATAAACGATGGTTAATCAACAAAATGTTATCCTTCATTTTTCCTGTCTTACTCGTTATGTGCTCACTCTCCAGGATTCAGTGCTACAGTTGAAATTTGGATGGGTTTCAAAATGTAGGTACTGCTGTCGCACTTCCTCAGGCTCTGTATCGTGAACTTCTTTTATTTGTTTTTTTTTGTTTTGTTTTGTTTTGTTTTGTTTTGTTTTGTTTTGTTTTGTTTTGTTTTGATGTTTGTTTTTGTGACTATGTGAATACTTTAGTGCTAGCTCGATATTTTACGTAACTTTCCGATCAACAACAGTTCGATCCAGAATATCATTCGTTGCCTGTCAACACCCCCATGTCCTTCAATCCCTCGCCCCTGACGGCCACAACTCGAGCCGTCTGCCCGGTCGAGAGCCTGGCTCAGATCATGCAGTCATGGACTGCGGAGCTAATCCGATGTCGGTGTGATTTCCGGAGAGCGGAGTACCGTGTTTCCTCTCTGTGGGCTGCTCTGCTGACCCTGAATTCCTGCGCTGATCTGGTTTGGTCACCTGGCCAGAGAGTGGACTATATAAGCGCGCCTGGCCCGGTCTGTGACATCAGTGTTCCGGCACATCTGATCACGGCACCACCATGAGGACCGTGAGTGCTCCGGCTGTGCTCGTGTGCGGTGATTCGGCTGGTGCTCACAGTGCGCTATGCGTGCTCAGCGCGTGACCTGTGCTCCGCCCGTGCTGCGCCAGTGATCTGACGGAGAAACCGGGCTTATCGGACTGTGATATACCATTTGGTGTTATATACGTTGGAAAGGCACCATTGGGCGTGAAGTCAGCCTTTGATGAGTGATGATCGCTGGCCATGGTTATTTTTCAAAGATTTAAAGAGCAAAGAGAAGTGCTAAGTGGAAGTGGCTAAACCGCGAATGCTGCTTGCTACCCGTGACATGAAGTCATTTGATCAAGTAAAATAATCGTACTCTCATTTATGAGAGTACGGTTATATTAATTATAATTAATATCCAAAATTCGTAATGAAAAGGCCTGATAATTCCGAGGAGGTTTCGGCTTACGCCTTCTTCAACTCGCTTTCAACAGCCACCTCTCAACTACTTGATTATATGTTTAAGCAGGTCTCTCAAAACAATGCTGGTGCATTCCACGATAGATCGTACTAGGCCCGCCACCCTCATCTCTCAGATTTTAATGAAAATCGGTCCTAGGGGTAATCATAGGCCCCAAAGACGCCTGGCAAAATATCAGACTTCTCAGATCAAAACTTTTTGGGTTACCTATATTGCATTACATTTTTTTAACTTCGGTATGTAACGGTGAGTTTGATGGCCTATAGGTAACTCAAGAACGGGTTAAGCAACCAACAAAAAGTAAACAACACTAAGCTTGCGATGAATCAAAAATTAATATTACTATTTAAAAATTCCAAAGAAAAAATTTCATTGTTGAGCAAAAACCATAAACTTTTTTCATTTGCCTCTAATGACTTTTGGGACCAAAATTTTTCACATTTTTATTTTTTCAAAATAAACTTCATGTCATTGCAAATCGACATGCAAAAAATTAGAAAGGTGTTCTTTCTATAAGTTCCTCATTTTCCCGCAAACAAAATGGGTTTCGGAGGGGTTGATACGACCCCAGCACGCCGTTTCGCTTCTAATAGAGCTAGAGCCTCGCGGAAAAAACGAGCGTGTGTGCCGTTACAAGTCGCAGCGATTGGTACCCGATTTTAAGGTCTCAGGTGAACCGGTATTGTCTGAGGTCAGGTCACGTGACTGAAGTTACGAGTTCGGTTTTTAGTAAATAACTTCGCAAAAAAATGGCCGCAGAATCGCGATTTTGGCATCATTGTGTTCGCCTAGCTCAGGTGCATCGAATGGTATACTTTTGGCTAGGGTGAGGTCAACTTAAGTAGTTGACCTCGGGTCAAGGTCAGGTCAGAGACCCTCAGGCCACGAAGCTAGGCAAAGGGTATCATATGGCATATCATTCGATTCGGAAGGTCTTTCCGAGTCCATTGGTGGCTTTCCCGACTCTCTAGCTCCATTTGATCGGAAGTTATTGACGAAAAACTCGTACGACCCTAGTGACGTCATAAATGACGTCACGCAAGGTTAACAATCCAAAAGTAAAGCATTGAACTTTGGAAGGAGTGCATGAAATCACGATACCATGTACGTGGGATAGTTTTAGATCATTCTTGGCGCCAAAATAACAGTTTTTATATTTCCCCATTGATTTATAACAGTGATGTCACGTGACCGACCTGACCTCATGTAACCTTGAAAAATTCCCAGATATACAAGTTGTGAGACCTCTGGAGGACACCATGTATGAGTCCTGTAACTTTCATCTCGGACAGCTATGGTCATTGGCGTCCAAAACAATGTCAGAACCAAACAGCCTTTTTCACCCTCGCGCTTATATGAAAGAGGGTTGAATGAACCCTCTTTTCACTTTTTTCAGATGACTCAGACTTGAATTGAAATTTCAGTAACCCGTGATGTCACTAGGCAGCTTTACCACGCCATTTGTAAGCTCCCCTCCCGAAATCACTATTCGAAACCGTTATCGTGACGTAAAATAAATACATTTATAGAAAGAACACCTTCCTAATTTTTTGCATACTTCTTAACAATGAGCCAAATATTTTTTTAAAGAAATAAAAATTAAAAAAAAATTTGGTCCCAAAGTCCAAAAATACAAATAAAAGAAAACTCGATATGTCATATATCAAAAATAGCGTATTTTTCGAAATTTCAAAAATACATATTAATCTCTGTTTCATTGCAAGTTCAATGTCATATAACATTTGGCATTTTAATAATCCGTCTTAGAGTTACAGCCCGCCAAACTTAGCGCTGCAAAGCAAGATCCAAAAAATGTTATACACCATAACTCAAAAAATACTTATCTGATAAGCCTGAAATTGTTACAGGTGGATTCAGAGCCCCTGATTACCCCTGAGACCAATTCTCGTCAAATTCCGAGAGATGAGGGTGTCAAATTGGAAAAAAGTGGTACGATCTATCGTGGAATGCCCCGGCCCTGCTAACAACAATTCAGACATGAAGTCATTCATCAATCGAGAAGATGGTGATGCCATCATTCCCATTTCTAGTTACAACCATCAGCGCTCAGTCGTTGTGTTGTGTTGTGTTGTGTTGTGTTGTGTTGTGTTGTGTTGCTATATGCTTGTGAAGTCCTAATATTGTATCTCAAGTAAAAACAAAAAATTTCGGTGCTACATGCTCAAGCGACACAAGCAGCGCACCAAAATGGACAACAATAGCAGCGGGATCAAACAGAATGTGGGTCAAAATTGTGGGTTTAGCCTTCTCGCACGCAGCAAAATGGCTAAAGATAACTTTAGTCTTAACTTTAGCCGTTACTTGCGCTGAAGGGAAGTGTTTGAGCACCTTTCAAGAAGTCTCCTTACGTTATAAAAGTAGTTTTCATATAAAACGCAGATTGTTGGACTGACTTATACACGGTAACATTGCCCTGTGGTGTTTGACAAAAACTCTTCCTCTCAGGTTCTGCTCATTTGCTTCATTTCTCTGGCCTTTGCCGATGAATATGCCAGGATCGTGAACTACCAATCCAGAATTGATGAAGACGGGGCATACAAATCCACGTAAGTTCGCTCTAATAACGCCAATAATTCTTAAGATTTAGTCCAAATAACTGTCTCCTGTGTGCATAGTTTTCACGTTTCTTGCTATTGCGTGCTTGTGACATAAAGAAGTGGTGATTGATTATTTTTCCTATTGAAAATCGCATTTTTGTGATATCAGCGTTGCAAGCTCGCTTAGAATCGTGGTATTTTAATGTTGTAAAGCTACTTGAATCACACTGATTGTCTTACAATATTATAATGTAATATAAAATAACATTTCTTGGTACTTGTGTACCAAGAATCTATAGTGCCATAGTGGAGATCTATTCAAGAACACCTTACGGACTGATACGTTCTGTTTTTCCATGCAATACAGGTTCGAGACGACCAACGGCATCAAAGCAAGCGAGGAAGGCATCTCCTACCCCGGCAACGTCCCCGAGTCGGGCAACTACGTGAGGAGCGGCTCGTACTCGTACGAATGGGAGGGCGTCACATACACGGTGAACTGGACGGCCGACGAGAACGGCTTCCATCCTGTTGGAGATCACCTGCCCGACTTCAGTCACACCAGACAGCATATCGGCTATGTATCCGACTATGAATAACGCGTAAACAATTAGACATAAAATGGTGTGGCAGTGGAATGTTTCGTGGAACTTGTCTTCGATATGAGCTTAAGTGACGTTGTGTATTCATGTGCTGGTGTCCTGTCACGGTCAACTGTGTGAATACTGTGTGTCTTTCAATGTTATTTGTCGCCATCAATGCTGCCAATAGAACTCCGCGTGCCCCAATCTGTTTTTTTTTCATTGATGATTTATGGCTCTTTGTCCATTCTGAATAAATCATTTAGCTGTCATTATTAGGCACACCATACTTCATAATCGAATAGGTCAAACTTCCGAGTGAATCGTGTGTCTTCTATCGTAGATGGAAACATACGCAAGAATTAGTTTGTCAAAGAATATGTAGGAATCCACCTTTGACTTATTGCATTCCCTTCATTCGTATGTTTTAATGAGCTAATGTGGTTCGATATGCAACACGGAGATGTTTTACAAAGCTGCATTTCCTTGCGCCACTCGCTCCGGGGTTACGTTTTCATAAAAAATAGGGGCTGAATGCGCAATGGTTATTGTCCCGTGATGGGATTGGTACGCCTAGAACGTATGCTATACCGCAAGACACGGCGCCCGTGAGGAAGAAAAACTGCACTGCAGATCACAGTGACACATGGCAGTGGCAGACTCACCTGAAAACTACCCATGGGGATCACGATAGAATAGTAGCTGGTTCCTGTTTGTCTCGTCGCTCGTCGTGTTGAAGTGCTGCGGCAATAAGGTTTTTTTCTTGCTTTAACTTATTCTGAATTTTTTGGTTGTAGATTGACTGAAAAGCCTAAATTGCAACATTTCCGTGTTTCTCCTGATGATATAATCATTTGTGCGATTGACGGAATCATTTTGCGATTTGTTTTTTTCCATCCCATCCTCCAAGCTTTCCTATTGCCATTGAAAGCCTTCTAAAACGAGCTGTAGCTTTAATGTCATTCGATTTTCTAGAGGATTCTCACCACTGTTTCCAAGCATCCTACGTCAAGCGTGCGTTGAATTAACTTTACAAAGAACGTCACAGGGGGAACCAGGAGTAACAAGGCTTAATCCGAAGCGTACATGCCATGACCTAACCCGAAATAAATCTGTTTAAGCACTCGGATGCCGCCATTAGTCAGTGTACGGCGGCCACTGTAGATCAGGCTTACGGCGGCCTCCCAAGGTAGCGACCTTGCAGAGCCGCTGGCGCAGAGCACTAACAGCTGGGAATTTCGGGCGGCGTTAAAGGTAGTGTGCCACCTTCGAATGATTTCCCATTTTATTTTTCCTATGATAAGAAGCTTCTGTTTTTACCTAATATCGCAAAAAAAAAATAAAAGATGGGCCTAAAATAGTGCTTTTTTCGCCTAAAAGTTTATCGGTTTTTCGATATGTACAGGGATGTTCACGAAAAACTGACACATTTTAAAACGACTTTGTGAGCATGTGAGAGCTCACGGAGACTTGACTTGCATGCCATTCGAAAGTCTGTTGAAAAAAGTTTTGTATCTGCATAGCTCCTTTAGTTAGCATCACATGAGCTTCCAAATAAATAAGAAAGCGTTAAAATGGGAAATTTGACTTGGCGACAAAACTTAACGGAAAAACAATGAAGCTCTCGCGGCTGCCATCTGCCACCACGACTGAACCAGTCTACGAATTCGTCTAAAATTTGACATATTAATGTTTCGATGGATTATGTTTTATACTATTGGCATATTGTGGGCAAATTCCTAAGGAATGCCAAAATTGGCAGGCTTGGAAGTGCTGATGTCAGAAACCATGGCCGCATGCTGGCAGTCACTGTAGAGTGGTACCGTGCCATCTTTTAACAGCTTCTGTTAGCTACTGTAGCGGAAATGGGTCGGCGTCTACACCATTTGGTGGTTCTGGCACGTCAGGGCCACCCTACGTACAGTAACGGCGATCATCGGTCTCACACGAGAACAGGGGGGAGGGGGCACTTGTCTCGCGCATCACCTCTCACCCATAGCCGGCCATTTCGCTCTACCTCAACTCCGTGGACTATTCCTGTGGGGTCACGTGAGTGACATGATCTGTAGCAGCGGCCCAAAGGACATCAAACCTCCCGACGAGTGCAGTGAGAGGTGTTGCAATTCTCCAGGCACGTGCCCAAAAACGGGGAATAATTTCCTGTTTCGGGCTGAGTCGTGCACTGCTCCGTGCCAAAAACTCGTCATCTGCAAAATACGCTGTAACTTCTTAGAAACGAAAATGACATGATCCCAAAATATGTCAATACAAACTTAGAAGTCCACTCTATTTGCCCATAGCATGATCACCGTTCTGAGGGCAAGTGTTTTCTCGTAATTCGGAAATAAAATGTGTCAGTTTTTCGTGAACATCCCTGTATAACAATTATGGTGGGCTGACCTGCAAACAGGCGTCGGCAACAATCACGAATGCGGCGCACATGTGACAATAAGCAAAGGTCATTGTAGAGTTACGACGTACGGGAATGAGTTATCAGCTGTCTAATCGTAGACAACACAATGTCGAATTTAAACTGTAAGCCTGTATTGGTATTGTTTCTTTAATTTGGCTGTCGAACATTAATTTATGGTTTGAAATGTTATTTTATGTAAAATAATTGATATGAAACAGCCGTCTCTAAAGTTATGACCCCATCTCACCACATGAAAGTGGCAGAAATGACAATGATCAGCTGACGCATTTTTCTTGGCCGAAGTCAGAGCGCGCGGCCCGACGCACCACCACCGTGCACCACAAAGTATGAGCAGAAGCCGCGCCCAAAGCCAAGGCCCCGGTAACGTGAGGTAGCCGAGTCGGGGCAGCGTGCGCTGACCCAAGCCGGGGCCGCGGCTTTGGGCGCGGTCTACCGCATCCCCGCGGGCAGCCCCGGGCTATCACATGACACCGGGAGGACGCGCGGCCCCGGCTTGGGTCAGCACACGCTGCCCCGACTCGTCTACCTCACGTTACCGGGGCCCTGGCTTTGGGCGCGGTCTACCGCACCACCTAACAGGCGTGTTCGAAACCGCAGGAGATGATGATGAACGGGTTTATCGAACTTGATTGGATGAGCCTATCGGTAATAGCGATTTCAGTGTGTGCATTTATTGTTCATAGTGGTGTGAAATGTGGTTGGGGTACGACCGACAACCCGTCGGGGCGAATTTCGCACTGGGGTACTCAAAATTTGAAGAATTTAAGACGTTTCCATGAGTTTTGAAGGTATGGATAAGTTCTAAAAATCCGGTTCTTTTATCTGGGCCATTAACTCCATACGGTCCAGGAAAGCTGGCACACTACCTTTAAGCATCCTTGGTTTGTGTTCGAGTATATCGTATAATACGCAATCCAAGAGCCGAGATAGGTCTAGGTGTTTCATCTAGTTATTAAGAAGTCAGTTCCAAATATATATGTGAAATTTATATTGCCAATCTTTTATGTTTTTTTTTGTCAGTTTTTCTTCGTACCAGGATGAATCATTTTTTTTTATATCTATGACCACGTTTCCATGGGCATCACTGATCCGGATCAGTAAAAATGAATCAGCTAATCCGGTATAGTTAGACAATATATGAACATGAAAGTAAGAGATTAACTGATTATATATAAGCCTAATCCACTTGGAATTATATCATGTAACGAAGAGTTCGAGAAATATGTATAATACGATTTAAATTTGCTGATCCGGATCAGGGATGTCCATTGAAACGGGGTCTATGTATGCTTCTCTGTTGTGGACTTGAACCCATGCGTATTGCGCGCGATATTTTACCCCTATTGGCATGCGTGTGATGAAGTGGAATGACTACAAATAAGAAGTACCATTTTTCAACACCTTGTATAATCTTTATTTCGGCTGTTCTTCTTGCAACATGACACCATGGCAAGTATGGTAGTATCTGATGATCAATTTATTGAGCCTCAAATCATAAAGTAACATTCGTAAACAGACATGTCATTATGCAACCTTCAGAGATTCATCTATCACACACATGCTCTCGATGCCAACAAGTTCGCACTTCACCATTAAATAATAACTTCCTAGCCTACTCGTAATCCGACACACTCCCGATGTGTTCCCGGGTGTGGCTGAAGTCTGGAAGGTGGTCGCCGACGGGCTGGAAACCATTTTCGTCGGCAATCCAGTGCACAGTGTAGGTGACGCCCTCCCATTCGTACGAGTAGGAGCCGCTCCTCACGTAGTTGCCGGTTTCCGGTAAGTTGCCGGGGTAGGAGATGCCTTCCTCGCTTGCTTTGATGCCGTTCGTCGTCTCGAATCTGCACAGAAATATCAGTTGCCGGTAGTGTGTTGATAGTATTATGCATTAGGTCGTTTGGTGTTTATGTTAGGTCATGTAATCTTGCATAATATCGTTCTTTTTGACTTATGATTGATACAATTTCAGTATTATTTTATTTTTATCATGTATACCCTTATTTTAGCTATTGTGCACTCTAATCACCTTAGTTTCTGTATGCTTTTATTGATACTACTGATGGATTGCTGGTAAAGTAAGAACTTGCACGTGATGGAAGCTGTCCCTTGCAGTCACGTTTCGGTTTGTCGTCACTTACTCTGATTTGTAGGATCCGTCCTCTTCGATTCCAGCCTGGTAGTTGGCAATTCTAGCATCGCGGTCGGCGAAGGCCGATGCGATCAAGCAAACGAGAAGAATCTGAAAAAGTTTCGGGCTGATATTAAACCAAGCTCCGTGACGTCGGTGTGTCCTTCATCATCATAGGTTTAAGATGCAGGTGCTTACACAAATATGGTAGTTAACGTTTTAGATTAACTAACGATATTGATTATCTTGTTTACCAGTATACTCTTTAAAAAATAAAAATAAACTATACGTTGGAACAAAATTGCCGTTCATTCTCAACACCAGATCACTAATGTTGCTGTTATCGCACTTTGGACCCGCTGGTCAAACTGCACTTTATCATCACTGCACTGGGTCGCTCTGTGGGTCACTCACGGTCTTCATGGCTGCCTTTGATGAGCTGTGTGAGCGAACTGATGTAGAGGAACAGAAGCTACCTGGTTATATAGTGGCAGCTGCTGCTCGTGCACGCCCGAACCAGATCACTGGCCGGCGCTCAGGGTCAGCTGACCTGCTCGTGCGCGGCCGCCGCCCCCCGCGCAGCGCAGTGCCCCGTCCGGAAATTTCACCACCCCCTCCCGCGCGCGCCCCGGTCATTGTTCGTAGGTGGAAACGGAAACCAGAAAACACATAGACCAAATAGCTTGGAGGCTTCATTGACTGTCGCACAAGGAAGCGGAACGTCATTCCATGCCTTGCACGTGTAGGAAATACATTGAAGTAGCAGCCGCGCCCATTCAGGTGAAGTGCCATGTTCGACACCCGGGACTGTTGTACATACTTGCTTTTTCATATGGTGAAGTAGTAAGGATAGGAAAAAGGTGCATACAGGGTGATCAGTACTTGGCGATCATGCTTTTTCGTCTGCTACAGAGAAAAAAGTGGTCGACCTGCCCTATGAGTGGCAAGGTGGCGGCGTATTCACTATCAATGGATAGTTTAGATCTTTTTCGTTATGCAGGATTGACGCATCGAATAACCTATCTATGAAAGCACTTTAGAAGAACGATTAAGGATTATGACTCTACTGGAAAAGGAAATGATGCGTCAAGTCAATCCGTCTTGTTGTCATATACACATTTAAGTTGTTTTCGTTGCTCTTGCATGCGGCCGAAGGGGGGGGGGGCGGGTACGACCCCCTCGCCGTTCGCCCCTGGTGGAGCTAGCGCGTCGGGGGAAAAAAACGAGCATATGCGCCGTTACGAGGCGCAGATATTGATACCCGATTTAAAGGTCCTAGGTCAACCGGTGACCTCTGAGGTCAGGTCAAGTGTCCCAAGGTACGGCTCCGTTTTTGGTGAAGACCTTCGCAAAACACGGCCGCAGAGCCGCGATTTTGGCAGCATCGTGTGTTCGTCTTGCTCAGGCGCGTCGAATGATACCTATACTTTTTGTTTGGGTAAGGTCAACTTAGGGTGTTGACCTCGGGTCACGGTCAGGTCAGCGCCCCCAGGTCACAAAATCGAAGGAGGTCATGTCGCACATCATTCGATTCGGCAGGTCTTCCGGAGTCGGCCATTGGTGGCTTTTCCGACTCGCTAACTCAATTTGATCGGGAATTATTGGCGATCAACTACTATGACCCTAATGACGTCATAAATGACGTCACACAAGGTCAACATTGCAAAAGTGACGCATCAAACCTTGCAAGGAGTGCATAAAATCACGAATCTGTGTGCTTGAGATAGTTGGAAATCGTTCTCGGCGCCAGAATAGCAGTCTTCATTTTCCCCATTGACTTATAATGGTGAGGTCACGAAAATGACCTAACCTCATATGACATTTAGGACAAATACAAGATATACAAGTTGTGAAGCTACTAATGAATACTAGGTCCCGCAAGTTTCATTTCCCTGTAAAAGCTCCTCTGGCAGTGAGGGCGTTGCGAAGTTGCAACATCTAAAGACCGTGCAGAGGTTCACTTATGACGTCATAGGTCAGTGACCTGACCTGACCCGAAAATGCGGTTGGTGTCAAAAGATCCGGCTTGAAGCAAAAGTCAGGTATGCTAAGTTTCAGCTCTCTATTACTGGCGTGTTCGGAACTATCGCTTAACTCGCGCCCCACTGGGGGGGGGGGCTATTATAGCCCCCCTCCCGTTTTTCTGCAATAACTTCCAAACCGCTTGACGTATCGACGCCAAACTTTCAGAACCTTCGGCTGCATCAATTTGACACCTTGTGTGAAAATTTGAACTTCGTACCTACCATAGGTCGGCCGGAAATGACGTCAGAGTGACGTCATGTTCGGCCGATTTCGACGCAAAACATTGAACCACGGCAATCGCTCCCAAGAGCTTAGTTTTTAAGCTAGATCCAATTTCTTTGCTTGAGAGGACTCAAAATAGACTGCGCTATCAAACTGCTATCTCGGATTTTCGAAATTTTGAAAATTTCGAAAATTGTTAATAATAAAATTTAAAATTTATATTTTTACATTTTTTTCAAAAAGTTTTTGACTTTTCGAAAAAACCGGAATATATGTGATAGAACGCATTATTATGACTAACTGTAGCAGGTTTTAGCTAAATATCTTCAAAAATGGCCAAGTTATACGCATTATTGCAAAAAATTAACAATTATTAATTTTTCAAATCAATTTTTCAGCACGAATTTGACATCGTACGCCAATATAAATAGCACCATCGTGTTCCTGAGCTCAAACTGCATCCAATAGACACCTTTTTTGTTGAAAAATTTTTACTTTAAAATTTGACCTTTTTTGACCTGAAAGTGACCTGACCTAAGCTAAATTTGACTAAAAATGACCTCGAATGACGCAGACGACATCAAATTCGAAATGTTTGGCCTAAATGGACCATAAAACATGTGTCACGTGACCGACGGATGATATAATATTTTCGTGACCTGTGATGACCTGACCTTGACCTGAAAATCAAAGTACAAGTTTGGTACCCTCAGAGTATCTAGAGCATCTGTTCACGAGTGTGGAAACCAAAAATGAGCCTGATCTGACTTGTAAGACGGTGGCCAGAGCCCAAAACGTGAAGAAGCCAAAATGCTAATAATATTTACTTTGACCTGACCTGTGACGTCATCGGTGACCTCGAGGTAAATGAAATTAGGTTTCGCTCGACAGTTTTTCCGGGGCTATCAGACGCCGTTTGAATTTTGACGATCGGCCCAGTAGTTTCGGAGTTAGGAGGGGGGCTATGAATAGCCCCCCCCCCCCAGTAGAGCGTGTTATACGCAGACCCCAGTGGGGCGCGGGTTAACCCTCGGCCGACGAGGGTTAAGGAGGATCTAAAATGACATCAAAGTTGTGTTGATGACTGCTGGGTAACCGGCAAAATATGTTTGTTCAGTATTCAACAAATTAAGATATTTTATAAATAGACGCGTAATTAAAATGATTTAGAAAATAAGATTGACCCGAAAGGGGCACTTTTTCATTTGTCATTGATTCATAGTAGGAAGGTCGCAAAATGACCTCGCCCTCCTATGTCACGTACATTATTTTTGATACAAACGTTCCATTTCGTCTCTATCATTTGCTGAAAACGTCCACGTAATTGATATGTTAGTGTAGCCAGTGCAGAGCGTATTTGATAAATGCATACGTAGGATTATCACAATGTGACATTAAAGGTAGTGTGCCACCTTTGAAAGATTTCCCATTTTATTTTTCCTAGGATAAGAAGCTTCTGTTTTTACCTAATATCGCAAAAAAAATCAAAAATGGGCCTGGAATAGTGCCTTTTTCGCCTAAAAGTTTTTCGGTTTTTAGATATGTATAACAACTGTAGTGGGCTCACCTGCAAACAGGCGTCGGGCAACAATCGCGAATGCGGCGCACTTGTGACAATAAGCAAAGGTCATTATAGTGTTACGACCATACGACGTACGGGAATGAGTTATCAGCTGTCTAATCGTAGACAACACAATGTCGAGCCTTAAACTGTAAGCCCGTATTGGTATTGTTTCTTTTATTTGGCTGTCGAACATTATTTATGGTTTGAAATATGATTTTATGTAAAATAATTTATATGAAAAAGCCGTCTTATAAGTTATGACCCCATTTCACCACACGCAAGTGGCAGAAATGACAATGATCAGCTGACGCATTTTTCTTGGCCGAAGTCAGAGCGCGCGGCCCGACGCACCACGCGTATTTGGAAATTCCGACCTCGACGAGCATCAGAAGCCACCTAACAGGCGTGTTCGAAACCGCAGGAGATGATGATGAACGGGTTTATCGAAACTTGATTGGATGAGCATATCGGTAATAGCGATTTCAGTGTGTGCATTTATTGTTCATAGTGGTGTGAAATGTGGTTGGGGTACGACCGACAACCCGTCGGGGCGAATTTCGCACTGGGGTACTCAAAATTTGAAGAATTTAAGACGTTTCCATGAGTTTTGAAGGTATGGATAAGTTCTAAAAATCCGGTTCTCCTTATCTGGGCCATTAACTCCATACGGTCCAAGAAAGCTGGCACACTACCTTTAAAATGCGCTTTATCCATTTTCGTGCTTCTCGATTTTATTCAAAGCTATGTATCTTCAGTGCCCATTAAGGTATACATATGTATGTAATATCAAGCAGCCGTATACTAATTTACGAGTTTTCCTGTTGTCCTAGGCTCTTCTGTTACAACACTTCCTGCCATCACACACATTTTCCACTCTTTTGATTCTTTCTTAGAACCGTAAGTCTTACCTGAACGTGTCTCTGGATACCTGACCTTGCATATAAAACCTCGCACCTTTCAACACACTTAGCTATGTAAGTCCAAGTATCCTAGCAACAGGACGAAGTGCTGAGGTATGTTAATAGCCTCGTGGTTAGACACGCACAATTCTTGCACGGATTTGTGTGAGGCCAGACCCTGTTCGTGAGTCACTTACTGTGATTACTGTGACACAGGCATGTGAATGAGGGATAAGTCGGTGGGTATTATAGATATGGAACACTCCGGAAGATTGCCTTGTGTAATTTTAAAACTGGTCTATGACTCCTTCGAACCGCTAGCGTAACAAATGGAAGCTGAACAGTTTCAAGTGTTACGCAATAAAACCGGAGAACGAAATGGAGTTATCAGTATGTTCGATGCTAAAATACCGAAGTTTGTTTTGGGTTAATCGGATCGGTTAAGATAGGTACTAATTGTATTGTAAACGAGGGAGACATAGTTAATATAAATTTTGTCGCAATTAGACAAAAACGTTTTGATCGATTAATTACATATACGTGTACTACGCACATTGCCACGCGTAAAAAAGATTGTGTTGCAGCGGATTGGATAAGTGCAATCGATTCATAATTTCAAGTAATCCAGTCTTATCTGACCTGACCTAATGTATGGATCCTACCATTGCGTTGGTGAATCAAATAGGCACTTTTTCACATCGAGCTCAAGAAACTGTATTTATGAAGCATTTGTCAGCCATTGATATGAACAACAATATGTACAAGATTCTGTCTCGAAATTTTGATATCGGTGACCTAAAGGTCAGGTCAGTTTTGCGACCTCTCCATTATAAGTCAATGGGAGAAAATTGACAGGCGCCTCTTTTAGACCAACGTCATTCTAAACACTTCCAGACACCGAATTACAAGTAAGCATGACACACTGAACCGGAAAATGGGACCCGTGACCCCTCGTTATGTTCCCGAGGTCATCTCAGGTCACGAAATACGAATGGTAACTGTTTTTCGCTAATAACTTATGATAGAGGCGTGCTAGAGCGATGAGGACGTCTTAGGTGTGTTCGGCTCGACGTTGCGGATAGTGATATGCAACATGTCCTTTTCCGGTCAGGTCATGACCCTGACCGGAGGCCAACTTTTCAAGTTGACTTTTAAGATCAAATTATGGTTCATTCGACGCGTCTCAACGAGAGGAATACGATGCTGGCAAAAATAATATCGTGACTCTCTTGAGTCAAATGTTATTGAAGAGAAACTTGTTTTTCATAAAAACGGCTATTTTTAGTTTTTGCCCTCTGGAAGCTTAATGTTGAAATAAGGTTAAATCTGAGGACATATTTCAGAAAGAGGGCTAAAGGGCTATCTTGTAGCGTTATAGGGCTATCTGTAGCTTTATTGGTTCCCGATTTATGTGCCGGTGTGCCTAAAAATGTTGGAATATGCAACATTTTACCTTTATTGACCACTCAGGGCGGGGCGCGGGTTAAAGATGAAATTTTCTGGGAAAGGCCAGTTTGGATTTGGACCTCAGGTCAAGGTCAGGTCAAAGCCGCTTTGGTTAGGAAATTGACGAAGTAGGTCAGGTTGCATGTCAAAACTCTTTGACAAACTGGTACGAAGCACCTTCAAGTAACATTAGCCGCGTTTACATAGGGCTAGTTGCCAGACAGTGGAATTCCGATACCGAGACATTTATTCCACTAACGATACATTTCAGGCACATTCCGCTGGTTCTGACGACCTATCGGGCCTTCTGGCCGGATAGGTCGTCAGAACTAGCGGAATGTGCCTGAAATGTCTCGTTAGTGGAATAAATGTCTCGGTATCGGAATTCCACTATCTGGCAACTAGCCCTATGTAAACGCGGCTATTCTTAAGTAAGAAGTTAAATTTTAAGTGACCTTTTCTTCGATTAATCGTTGCAATTAATATCAAATAACAGCATGTTTAATGTTAATACAAATTACGTTCAATTTTCTTAGGAATGCCAGTCTTCTTTGCCTCACTAACCGTATGCTGCTTTTCACATCCATAAAAGCAAGCTTCTATGAGTAACAATGTATTGGTGACAATGACTACGACAACGCTTCACCACATCTCGAGACAACAAACATTGGCGGTGGACAACGACGACCAGGGACGGACCGGGACGCAAACAACACTCTCACGCGGACAAACAGGGAGCACAAGCTCCGTGACGACGACAACGCACGATGGATGAAAATCATGAGGTTAGTGTATCACAACTTGAACGAATGCTACCAGAGAATGCAAGAAGCATATAGTGTATTTGTTTGTTTTATTTTACATATATTTCCTACTCGTGATCCGACACTGATCCAATGTGCTCCCGGGTGTGACTGAAGTCGGGCAGATGATCCCCAACAGGATGGAAGCCGTTCTCGTCGGCCGTCCAGGTGACCGTGTAGGTGACGCCCTCCCATTCGTACGAGTACGAGCCGCTCCTCACGTAGTTGCCAGACTCGGGGACGTTGCCGGGGTAGGAGATGCCGTCCTCCTGGGCCTTGATACCGTTGGTTGTCTCGTATCTGTGAAATAAAAATAGGATAAATATGTAGATTCTCCCGACAATTATTTGTGGGGCTTTCTCGGTGGTTCAGCTTACGATACGTTGAATGCAACGTTTGCATTTGGTCTTTGGAGAGGAATTAAGCTCACTCTTGGGAACATGCCAACCTCCTGCGTCGCACTTTAGCACACCGTAAATTATCCTTTCACTTCGGTGCGCGCGAGGGTGGCGCTCCAAACAAAACGCGAATATGCAAAGTAATCCTTGACACTGATGCCAATTTAACGTTCCATGCGACATGTCTTTTATGGGCGGCCGGGTGGGATGCGAACCTGGCTAATCCGACGCTGGCTTTTTCTGCCGTTCAAGTTTCGCAACCGTCTCTGAGAAGCCGTCCATGAGGTCACGAGGAGGGCAAGAGAGGGGTGGCGAGGATGGAGGGTCGGGTCAAGCCCGTTATTTTGCAGTCCTTTGGGTCGCGCCCCGTGGCTAAGGTTTACCCGGGAGAGTAGGACGGGGTCGACTAACGATTGGTGGGAACAGCCGCGCTGCACCGGGGCGCCGGAATGCCGGGAAACACGCCGGCTCACTAATGACATGCGGAGGACCTTGTCGGCTTGGCATTCGGACGTGCCCGCTACTCCGCCCTCAAGTACCGCGAAAAACACGACACCGGTATGACACGGACGGGACGGCACGGTCCGCCGGGCGCGGCACGAGCCGTTCACGTGCCCCGTGTGAGCCGCTGCACAGTGGACACGATAACGTGGTAATGCCTTTATCTACACTGGAATCAGCGTGGTTAACAGGCAACCGCACTGCTGGTCACGGCAAGACCGAGACAAATGTCCACTTTACCATAGATAAACAGAATCATGTTGAATGAAACGTGAAACTGAAATTATACGCCTTTTGTACGGTATTTTCACGCTTGTAAAGGAAGGTCTCATGCAGAACTGAACTGTACTGAACTGTACTACAAAAGCAAAAAAGGAAAGAGTGAAATGCCATAATATGCTTGGGCTTGTGGGTTTACATGAACTAACTGCTGCGTGTAAGGTTTAGTTAATATGCATCAGGTAGTAAAACATGACTTCCTAGAAATTAGTTGGACAGTGAAACAGCCTATGCGTCTTTTATCTTTTGACATGGACTTTGTGCAGAAGTTATTAAGCATCTCAATCCATTGAATATGACAATTAGTATAGGTGATCGTGTTGAGCTTATTATTTTTCAGCGTAACCGAGCTAGAGGTCTCGTTTGTTCGCTCGTATGGGTTACAGCCGAAAAACTTGCTCCGTGGCTACTGTGTGTGCGGGCGCACTCGCCTGGCCTCGTACGAGCCGTCCTCCTCGATGCCGTACTGATAGTTTCTGATCCGGGCTGACCGGTCAGCGACGGCCACTGACACCAGGAGGAGAGCGATGATCTGCAACAGACGGGACAGACGTCAGCACTTAGAGAATAGCGGTGGGGAAGCGACACTATTTTCCAGAATTATACATTTTTAACGGCGCCAAAAGGCTTTATTTACGTTATAATGCCGAATACATTTATGTGAAACTTTATTCTCTTTTACTTTGGCATCTGATTCTGTTGGCTACATAGTATAGTATGTGATTCATTAATTACTGCGCACCAATTTATCCTAATTCGCCGGAATGATAGGAGCTGCTTTTATAGTTTTGACTGGCTATACATAATTTCAGTAATCTGAAAAAACAATTTTACTCAATATTCGATTGAGTAATATTATTTGAGGCGGCTGCGTGCCTTCCCAAGCGTTTTTCTCCGATGCCGCTCTGTATTTTGCAAGTAAACTGTCCGCCGAAAGCATAGCACGCGACGTATTGATTTCGCCAACACTCTGAAACCTTTTCAAAAGGTTTTTTTTTTTACAGAGTGAGCAATTTTAGTTTCTTTTTAAATTCTAAAAATCACACCGCCAGATTACTGGTAGACTCGAGTCTTCCACTCATGTGTCACTTCTCAGCAAGATGCACCGATATGCGCGAATCACGTCCGAAGTGTATGTAGCACAGAAGGAAGATCTCGGCGGATACGGCCTGGCTGGTACGGCACGGCTGGTATGTCGAGCACGGCCGGCACGGCGAGCTCGTCCGTCGGCCGGTCTGGCGCTCCTCGGTCGCCGGGGCTGGTCTCCACGCCGTCTCCGGTCGTCCGCCGGCGGGCCGCCCCCTGGCCTCGGCGCCCGGCGCCCGGCCGATGGTCGCGACTTACCAGCTTCATACTGGCACGACGCGGACGACAGGCCACCCGGGGGCAGATGCAGGAGACGAGATCGGCGGACTGGTGGCTGCCGACCGATAGCGGCCGCTTATATACGCGACACGCGGCCGGGCCTCGTCCCCGACCCGGCCGGCCCGGCCCGGCCCGGCGTGACGAGGGGTGGCGCAGGGTGGCACCGTGGGCCCACCGCAGATTATCAGAGCAAGATGCACCGTCAGTTCCTTCGGATCATGTCACATGGAAGGCTTTGGTACCCGGTCTGAATCAAATGATACAGACATTGCCGCTGTAGAGCAGCGCATACCTGCATCCAAATGCCGATGCAGGTTAAAAACACGTGCACAAATTGGACAAACGTTTTATATTTTTGCCCTTGCAAATCGGTAAAATATGAGCACTGATCAGTATTGTGTGAGTTTTTATTTCAATAGTCCCCGATATATTTATTTCACTTTTGTAGTTAGCATGATGAAACCAGAATATTGTCAATTTTATTTGGCTACATAAATTATAAGTACTTGAAAAGCTTGTGGCCCTTTCCTTGCAATACCTATGCAGACTTTTGGCGTACTGTCATTTACGCATAGCTTTTCACTGATTTTCAATGCCATTTTTTCCGAGCTGGCGACAGGCTGAAACAGACTCTTTCCGCATTCAGGAAATCGCATGCGAGAGCCTATTCAAATACATCATAATTATTCTCGCATCAATCGCCCTCGGGGGGGGGGGGGGGGGGGGTGCGTGCGATTGATGCGAGCGGGCTTCAATGTAGTTGAATAGGCTCTCACATGCGATTTCCTGACTGCGGAAAGAGTCTGTTTCAGGCTCAACTGCTTTCTGTTTCTGTCCATTCATCCTCTATGGCCGGAACGCTTGATCCGGCCTTTTTGTCTGTCAGCAATTTATCTTCGTATGTTGAGATGTTTTCATGTCATATCCCACCATAACTTTTGAAGCCTAATTCAATATACCCTGGTTCTGATGCCTTTATGCATGTCATCTTTCTGTGAATATCCTTCCCATTTTCCTCAAAATTACCAAGTCGCAACCTGAGTCGCTACCACGTTATCTTGTATCTAGCTAAATGTTGCAGATTGTTGCTGTTTTCAGCTGCAAGCAAGAGTACCTTTAAAAGATGACAAACCCCTGGGGATGTCTTTTACTCGTAATTACATCAACAATCCAAGACTTCACCATGCTCTTGTAGAAGCACCTTGCATTGACACCGACTTTGCTACTGGGTTCTAATCTCTCTTTAGGCTGGGCCCAACAGTCGTCGAAAAAATATCGACTTTTATTTTGCTGTCTGTTTCAGTTGCAGCTTTTATGCCAAAACATATTTGGGGTGTGCTTGCACACGGAAGATGACTTAAAATTACTCGTCTATTGAACTGACTAGTTGACTCATTGACTAATTAACTGACTAAATTATTCGCCTGCTGGTTTATTGGTCTTGTCAGATTCATTAGAGACGATCTCGGTGTTAACATGATTTTGCAGAGTGCAATAGCAATGGCGCTCTGCAATGTTTATGCTTAGTGAAATGGCTTGCATTCAGTGTAAATATATCGACCAATTGAATACACCACCCGTGTGGTGGCGGTCACCTCTGCCATGCAAAACCGCCGCGGTGTCGTGCTCCGATACCTGAGCCGCCGTCTGTCTGTCTGTCTGCCCGGCTCTCAGGCTGCCCGTTCGCTGGGAGCGGTACACATCGACAGACACGACTGGACATTGTCGGCTCGCGCTACTATGTCCGCTGTTTTTGCGAGCGCCTACCGTAAGCGTCGGGCATTGTTGACCCCTGAGAGCATGGCTGTCCAACGAGTCTTTCATTGCGTATCCACGTTTTTATCTTGCTGACGCAGCTCAATAGCATGCAACCGTTGGAACGTATCTACTTATCAAGTTCTTGTTAGAATGAAGACAACTTGAACAGACGCATAATCGGCTCCAATACAAGCATCTCCTTACGTGAGCGACGGAGACTTCAACGGAAAATGAAAGATATAGAGGATTCTTCATGGCTCCGAGTGGAAGATAAGGATATCTTTTACAAGCGGGTTACTGAAAAACCGAGCGACGAAGGAGCGAGGTTTTTCTGTAACACGCGAGGAAAAGATATCCGATCTTCCACGAGTGAGCCATGAGGAATCCTATATCTTTCTATGTTGAGGTTTATTCTTAATTAATTAAATATTATATTTAAATGTATTCATCTATATTGTAAAAAAAAGATTTAGAGTAGTTTGTTTTTATTTCAAATTTCATACATAAACAGCCATTAAAATGCCGTTCTGTTATTGACTCATTATCAGTTGAACTCTTGATTTTTGGCTATGACCCTCGAGACCTTATCTTTGCATCTCAGAGAGATGCAGAGATAACAAATTCTTATCTTTGCATCTCAGAGGAGTGGGAGATAGAAATATCCCTGCACTGTAGACCCAATGGCAAATAAACCTCAACTAGAAAGATATCATCAGCAGCAGTGGGTGACTGCAACGCTGCGTTTACGAATAACACTGTTATACAAACCATTGCTGCGGCGCAGTAACGGCTGAAACGGCCATTGGTGAGCTTCATTTTGCTTTGTGGCTTCCTCAACAATGTTTGCATATCTTCAGAGCACGTTTTTAACGCAATCCTGGCCTTATTTTCCGTCATCTAATATTTTGTGAAATTTGCTTCAGTTTTATGGTGCTAATTTTTTATCTCGACAGGGACTTGACTGACAGTGCTGATCGCCCGTCATGAGTTCATGCCATCGGAAGCAGTGCGTCACCGCATAACCGCATAATCCCTTGCACAGGTGATGATTTATCGGAGGTATTATTCATCACAGGTAGCGCCACGACGACCGACTAGGTAGCACCGACCACCGATGCAATCCTATATAGTATCGGTCCGAACCTCTCCACGTGCAGGACAAATAGTCTGTGTACTAAGGAACGGGAGAGGATCCGCTACAGATGTAGACCGGCCAGCCGTGGGACGGGAGAGGAGCATCGCGACCTCCAGACCGCGACAGGAGGACGGGACGGACAGTCCATCCTGCCGTGAATCAATTAATAGATGCATTGTGAATGACTTTAGGCACCTCAGGCATTGTTATAAACGAAATTACCGCGCTATTTGACGTGAACTGTCAAAGCAGGGTATAAAAACAGCTGTCATCCAATGTCCAAGTTCTGTTGCATTCTGCTGTCACATTATTCTTACACGAAGCACATAAATTACACTAATCTGCACACATGTTTAAGCACATTAACCATGAAAATATACCAAGTATCTATGATGTTAACAGCGCAAAAACATAGGTACTTCTTACTATCGTAGTTTTGCTGTACTATCTAGGATGCATGACGTCACACGTTTTACAGCCATGAGACAGCCATCCAAATCCTGCCTTTGGGCCATTGGCGAATGACTCGGTGCGGCTCCCCAGAGGTATTTTATTAGCATACGGTCGTATGACGTCATTGGCGGTGGGTCGGCGGCCCTATGAGCGCAGTACGCGGTATAAACGTATACCGTTCGGTGGGCGATAGAGCTGTTCCGGGATCACCGGTCAATGGACCTCACGTGAGCGACTACTTGGTATTTGTCATTTACACCCACTTCGCAGAGGGGAGACGGAACAGGACTTACCACGAGCAATGAAGTTAGATACGCTGTCACTAATAAGCTTACTAATGCTGCTGCAAGCTTTCACCGTTCCGTGCTTCTATCCTCAGGATACTGAAATCCTTCTTCTCCACGCTGCAACCCCCTCCGGGCTGGACAGGCAACTTTATCTCATGCGGGCTGCTCCCTTGGAGCGGCACCGCTGCTCCCGAGGAAGCGCACCCCGTAGCCGGGTGCAGTGAGTGCCTTGGGGCTTGGTGGCCTGTCCTCTGGACGGGCTCAGCCCCGGCGACTCACTAGGGTGCCTGCCCAGACCAATGTCTCCCCCTATCCTATTATCCTCCCGGCTCTGAAATGGTCTAATTGGACCGAAAGGGCCTAACCCAACAAAACAAAGCTGCAAGCTGCATGCTAATGTGGACAACTTTATTAACCTCATTTTGCACGGCGGACACTTTATATTAGTTATTTTATTCAAGCTGTAATGAATTAGGCATGAAAACAAATCTGCAGGCAAGCCGTGCGAAATGTCAAACCTAGGTGACATTTTTATGTCGCTTTCTTGTATCTCAACGCCACTTGTGACATGCATGACAACTTTCAAGCCTTTAAGAAAGCGTTTCTAGACCAGTCCAATTACGTAATACGTATTCAGTCGTACAAACGATTAACGAAAGGCAGCTCTTTGCCTCTACCTCTTCCACAATAAACGTATTAATTTCTAAACGTATGTTCCACATCAGCGGACAGTCAGCCTTCAGGTCATGCCCCGGACTTTTGCAACTCAGCGATCATTAGTGGACACGCGATGCTGTTTGCTGTTAAATCTGCCGTTTCCGCCGTCTCCCCACCCATTTGTTGTTGGTTTGACCGCAGAGCGGAGCCCGCAGACTGCAGGATGGGGCTGAGAGCGGGTGGTGAATGCCGTCCCCGTCCGGCGGGCCGTAACCGGGGAAATGCCGACAGGTAGGACTGTCCGCCGGCTCAGATGGTTCCCACTGGAGTGGGGGACTGGGTAGGAGCGGCGTGGGTGTGGGGGAGGGCTGTGTGGCCACAAGTAGCTGTTCGGTATTGTCCTATGCTGTACAGTTTGCATGCTGCATACTGTCTTGTCTGCACCGGTCCCTGTCCTCCCCTCCCATGGATAACCCAACCGGTCGCGTTGCCAATAGGACTGAATGAACTTCCCAATACCCATCTAGAAAAAGATGGCAACCAATGGAGATACGGGGAGGTAAACCGTTAAAGAAGCATTTACGCATTTGTGATGCACGCTGCGAAATATAACTAAACAAGCCGGCACTGATCGCAACCCAAAGCATGGGTTGGTTAGCAAGGTTAACCCAAAGCTTGCTGGGAGGTCCCGAGTAAACAACATGGAATGGACGACGCAAGGGTTTACTTCTGTGATGTATGGCGGACTGAATGGTCTTTGCATTCTTAGAATCGATGGTACTCATATACTTCATCGTCTCATTGATGATCGGAACTTTGGAAT